TACGGCACGGCACATACCGTACCGTCGGAGGGCGGGGTCATGCTCACTTGTTGTATGCCGGCCAACTCGACCTGTGGCAGGAGCGAATACCATTTTGAAGGGCCTAATACAGGCTATACATATTCAGCGCAAGATACTTCGGGATCGGCCTATTCTGGGGTCCTCTGGCCGAATACTTGTTACTAGTCGCTGGTCACTGTTTTGACTCCACTGCTACTGTACACGCGGGGCTCTACAATCTGTCATCAACCGCGGATACTTCCCTGCATTTCATGCCGGTAGGCTGTGAGTGTCGGCTGTTGACCAGGGGTTGAAGTCGAACAGCGTGTGATAGCCATCATTTTCGAGTGCCTTAAATTAAACGCTTGCAGGAAGAATATCCAGCTCAGATCTCTCCTGTACCGTCCTCCGATGTCGGATTTTGTGTTCTTGTAAGCCTTCCCTGGATCTGCCGCCGACTTTCTCCGCACGCCCTGACGATCTTTTCAGCACTGGGTCTCTCGTAATACAACCAGTGTCGACTGTCTCATCTGGAATTGACTATTTTCTAGCTTCTGGGATCCCAGTTCAACTGGGCATTGCTTGGCATACTCACTCTCCAAGTCTGTGAGTCAGACATCTACATATTAGGAAATTCAGCCCAGACGAAAACAGATATGTTCCATGTCTCGTTTCCGAAGGAGAGGACTGCGATCAAGGCTCTCGGTAATCCCATTTCTCTATGCTCACCTGGTGATAACAAACCGTGGCAGTTTACACAACATTCCTCCTTGATGTACTGCAGACCGCGCTCTCTAGCCATTTTGCATTTGAAGTTCTCGCAACGGGTTGGGGAAACCCCTCAGCGATAACACACCCCCCTTGGTCAAACGTCGCTATCCCAGTGACCACCGCCTTGGTCTCTGCTCCCGTCCAAGTTTTTTTTGCATGGTGAGTCTGCGGTGTGCATATTCCACTTCTGCAATGCTGAGCGCCTGTAGGCGTATTTATGTCCTGAAACAAAATAGTCGCTTTACTTGGGCTGTTTGCGGTGTAATAATAGCAGTACGAAGTTTACCAGGCGACTTCTTCTCTTTCTGACCTATATTCAGCTTGCCCTGATTCAAAGTAGCACAGGGATCGCCGGCGGGATCAAATATGCAGTCACCACCTCCCTCACCGATACAGACGTCCGAATAATCAGACTTTTGGGAAAGGTACAGTGTTACGTGTCGCCTGCTGCTTGTTCCAACACATTCTAACACATTCAGTTTTGGCTCCTTGGAAGCATTTTCTGCGATGTCATTATCGCAGTCACCATGATTATAATTGTAAGCTTCCTGTCCCTCCCTATTGTATTTCGTGTCGTTTACTGTTCGCAGCTTTTACAATATCGAAAAGAAACCCCATGGAAGAATACCGACAGCCTGATCACGAAGCTGATTTACCACACAGTCCAGACTGGCGCCATAACCGTCATTGTGTCCCTTCTGGACCTTGGGCTTTTCTTTTGGGAAGGATATCCTCCCGGAATTGCGGTGCAAGTCATAACCACACATCCCTCAGCAGTCTGAGCTAACTCTCTTCAGCTCATTTATCATCGGGAAAATCTATTCCAATGTAATGATGGCCAACCTAAATGGCCGGCCGCAGACGACAGGATCCTCTGCTGGTTCAATGGTCCCTGACAGTACTGAGCTCAGATTTGTCGACACAGGCTCGAACGACCGGCGTAATCATACAGCCTGGTCCCATAAGGCGCAGGTGTCGAAGGTCCCGAAAATAGACAGAACTTAAATTGTAGACGGGTACCAAGTGTCAGAATAACAATGGTGTTGAAGTTGGGGTGTAGACATCTGCGGGAACCTTCCAGTTCCTCGTCGCCTATCCCGGGGCCCTGGAAAACGATAAAGTACACATGGATTACAGCTTGTAGCGGAATTTGGGGTGCAAGTGTCCGAGCTGAGCCTCCTCGGCGGGGGTGAGCCCGTCGAGGCGATGGTCACGCGCACCGCGGACACGCTGCGCGTTCTCCCACTTCATATATATCATCGTCACGACGGCGAGGACCAGTACGACAACCATTCCCGCCAGGTTGAGTGTATTCCCCTTGCGGTAGTCTGGCGCGTCGGCGTTGACATATGTCCAGGTGCTCTGGCGAGGACTCAGCAGCGGCGACGCCGGTGGCGGTGGCGCGAACAACTCACGATGATGCCCCCGAGATATCCAATGGACGAAAGAATGCAGAGAGCGACTGCGCGCGTGGTGTCTGGGCCGGTGTTTACTGCGACGAGCCCAGGGCTGAATGCGCCGAAGGGGAATGCACCTGAGAAATAGAGGCGTCGGGGACGGAGCAAAATATCTGTAAGACACTCACCTGCGGCCACCAGGAAACAAGCGGCGTAGCGTGCGTGAAGAGACTTGGAGCCAACAAAATGGCGTATCCTACGCGACCGTCAGCATTGAGCCGGGGAAGGAGCCAAGGTTCCCACCGATTATCCCCACGCCCGCAAGGGCAGCCATGAAAGGACCGCGAGTATCCATCCGCATTGAAACATATGGTGTGATGATCTGCACGACAGCAGCCATGAGGTATCTGTAATGAGATGAATTCAGCTTTTATAAACGGGCATGTATGTCGCTCGACCCACGGTGGAACGGAAAGGAGCTGCTTTGCAACAGGTGTCTTTTCGGAGAAGAGGTTCGCGATCACAGTCGGGAGGAACGCGGCAGCTCTGAGACGTCAGTGAACTCTAGGCTCAGATGGAAAGAGTGTACCCTTGAATGGCGATATCTGTCCTGGATCGTAAGCAATACCTTCTAAACCACCGTGAGAATGACGTACTAATGAACAGGAATCCGATGGCGATGAGCCAGGTCTGAAAACAAAATCCTTAAGGGGTACACTATCCAGGAGTTCTAAACACTTGCGTTAATATTCAACAGGCCTTGGCGGATGGTTTGCTTTCTGGTATGCTGCGCAGCTTCATTGATGGCAGGATACCCCGATTCGAGCCTCCCGACTGCGAGGATCTTCTCTCCCTCCGTCAGCCAACGGGCCTGCAGTGGGGAGTCGATCACCAGGAAGAAGACGCATATGGCAACAACGGTCGTGATCAGTCCTTCGATGAGCTGTGGGCCTGTGGCATATAAAACAGGGTCCGGCAGCATCTTATAAAAGGGCAACTTACGGATATCTGGAAGTGTGCAATGGCTGAGTGAACGAACCACCAGAGAATGCGAACTCACGTTGCGCCAGGTTCTCAGCCAACCAATGCTGTTCACGGCTCGTCGGTCAGTTTATATTTGGGACAACGGACTGCGTACTGGTCAATCTTGAGAATTCCTGATGCAATAAGACCGCCAAAGGCTGCGCCGATGTTGCTTGAAGCGAGGACGAGACCCACTGCGGTGGATACTAGATATTTGGTTTTACAAGACGGGCAGATGGAAACGCACTCCTGGAGAATAAAGTGAGGTTTGTTAATCAACCTGTTAAAACCAGAAGGCTTGCCTATAGGTGAGCTCCTGACGCCGGTAGAACTTTGATAGAAAGTACGCAATTCCCGGGAGTACCCCTCCTTCGAAGACACCAAGGAGCGCACGGACGAAACAAAACTCGGCAAAGTTACGAACGAACGCCGAGCACATGCAGCAGATCCCGAAACCGAACGCGCAACCCGCAAGCCATCTTCCCATACCGAAGTGCTTGCCAAGCAAGTTGCTGGGGTGCGGCGTCAGCAATTGAAGCAAGCCACGGGATGTAACCTACACTTCGGGGTCTCCACGACCACGTATGTCGTATAGAAGCATGTAAGACTGGATCGACGGAGTGAGACCTGGAGCTCGAGGTGCATAGTCAAAACTAACCCGATATTATATTGGATGCCATGAAGGCCGAGGGATCTATCGATAGGTATCGGGAGTTTGCTTCAACGGATGGAGAAAATACGCACGCCTGAAGACCGGCGATGGAGGCGAACCCCACATTTACGCGATTGAGGAAGCAGAAAGCTGAAAATTTGGACGCCGGACCAATTGGATTCAGTTGAAAAGGTGATACAGTCAGATAAAGAGCGATCTCAAGACGCATCGGGCGTACCGTCTAGGCAGCGATAAGTAAACTCGGAAAATTTGGCTTCGATGTTGACTCACAGAGCAGACACACCAGCGGCATAATCCTATGATCGAGCTTGCGCCGGAGTCGATTCTCCTCCTCCGAACGGATGTCGGACACTGGCGCGGTGACATCTACGGCGGATTTTTCAGACTCGGGTGATTTTCCGTACTCGGACATGGCGGGCAAGACTGGGGGCCTTCGAGTGGTTATCGCGGATTAACACGCCCTTACTACGCCGATAGTCGGCAGGTCTCGAAAAAAGAACATCCACCCACACCTGACCACACGCGCCGTCCTGCCATGGAGGCTGCCGGGGCGTCTTCCTTGATCTTTCGTTTTCGTCGGAATTGAGAGGGGCATAGAACGGACAGTGGCATCAACACGCGTAAGACACAATCCAGAGGTTGGACGGAGAAGGTAGGTCCGCTGCAGCCGAAAATCGAGCGCCTTCCCTGAAGAGTTCAAAGTAAAGAGTAGGAAAAGCAAAGGAAAAGTCGAGCCGGGTGTTGATCGCAAGCCGGCACCGGTTCGGCCGGCAACTTTCGTCTGTCCTCCTGCACTCTTTCACTTCCTCTGCGGTGCCACTCATTGGTCGTTCAATCTATGGCAAATATCGTGGACGCCAATATATCGGGCCATTAGAGCCCTATTCCCGAGACAATCTTGCATTTCTTTGACTTTTTCAACATTGGTTTCGGGTTCCGTTCAGCACGCTTCCAGGTCTGCGATTTCACAGGGATAAATGACTCAAATCACCCAGTACACCCGCAGTCCTGCCAGCTTATACATTCTATCCTCCTTTGGTAGGAGACGGTTGGTTGTGGGTAATGATGCCGACCCAGCCCGACAACCGTTCTTGAATTTGGCACATAGGCAATGCTTAAACTCCGACAATTTCAATGGCCTGGTAGCATAATGGTAGTGCAGCCACTTTCTGTATGGGGACGGGATCAATATTAAATGGAAGATCCCTGTTCGACTCAGGGCCAGGCCATATATATGTGGGGTGATGTTTTTGAGTGACTGCCAGGGTTTTAGTCACACCTCCACCTCCACCTCCAATTCAACCGTAAAACCATTTGTAGGAATTTTTAAATATGGTCCAGTAGCATACTCGGTAGTGCCTCCGCGGTTTATGTCTTTTCCTTAGCGTTCACGCGGAAAATCCCTGTTCGATTTGGGACTGGGCCATTATTGACTTTTAAGTAAGTGTAGCACTTTTTTTCCTTACTCTTCAAATTTCAACCACCATAAGCTCTCCTTGTCTGCAATAACGGCCTGGTAGCATAGTGGTACTATTGCTATGAGTTGTGAAAATTCACCGTGGAAGTCTCCCCTTCGAGTCGGGGCCAGGCCATGGCATCGGAGAGAACGAGGTTTTTCTTCCTCTCAATGGAAATTGCAACCTCGTCAAATACGCGTGCGCGTCTCACCGCACATTGATATTCCTTCAATTCTCCGACTCAATAGATACGCACTAAGATTCGTCCCATTGCATCGTCGAAGCCCAACTGGCTGGATCCAACACATCAAGAAAAGGATTACAGAACATACAAAATGCAGGGATGCACACGAGAAGCCATTCATATCACGCAAACCAAACTGAGACCCACGCGAGAAACAGCCCTAGGCCCCAGCCCAGCGCCCACAGCAGCACGATCACGGCCGTTACATTCACGCCCCAGTGCACCAGCACCGACCCCAGTGCGCGCTTCCCCTCGTCCTCCTCCCCCTCATAGCCGACCCACACCGCGCCGTACAGAGTCTCCACCACAGCCTGGTCGCCGCACTCGCCGTGCGCGGTCCACGCGCCGACGTCGCCGACGAAGCGGCGCGTCACGCTGCCCGAGGCGCTCACCGGCTCGGACGCGTGCATGAGGGCCGCCGAGAGGCGCGGAGTGCGCGCCCAGGAGTCGATCGTGAGCGGGCCCTGGAAGGTGCGCGGGAGGTAGATGCGGGTCTGGCCGAAGGTCGAGTTCGTGTCGATGTAGACGGGTGCACCGGGCTGTGCGCGCTGCGAAATAAAATACGGTCGTAAGCACAAAGAATACCAGGAGGCCGCAGAAGGAGGACGCACGATGCGGAGCGTGATGTTTCCAGTGCCCGTGCCGGATCTGAGATGCACTTGAGGGCCCTTGCTCTCACGGTAGTTGTCAGAGGACAAGTACGATCTTGGACGCGGTACGTAGACCATATCAGGCGCGAAGGGCAGGACGTTGATGTCGGCATCGACCGCGCCGAACGTGACCGAGAGCTCGAGATTCGGTGGGGGCCGCCCGTAGAATGGCTTCGGGCGGAGAGACTCGGGCATGTGCTGGTTGGGATCCACAACCGCGCGCATGCCGTTCAGGGAGCCCAGCGTTCGCGAGATGGCGATGTTGTTTCGTGGACGCGAGAACAGTTCCGCATGGAGGTTGATTGGGACAGAAAGGGACCGAGAGCGCAACATCTAAGGGTTGGACATGAGCACATCGTCGCCGGGAAGTAACCATCGCTACGGACTTGGACTGGATTCGGCAGAGTTTCCGCGTCTTTGGAGTCGGACATGGTGTGTACACGAGCGCTGGGATGGACGAAACCAAGAGCAAGGCGCTCTATGTACTACCAGCATTCAAGGCGATGATTACCCGATCACGTAAGTGAACTGCCTGCTGCATTGCCTTTTCATTGGCATCTAACAGCTCATCCACAGCTTACCGCTCGATTCCTTGATGGCCACTTATATAAGCGGACAGCCACCATCAAGCGCGCCGATTTCGGCAACAGCCAAGCGACAGCTATCCTCTAGAATTCGAAGATCACAGCCTCAATGGAGGAAACCAGCATCGCCTGTGCATTCCCGTTGAGGTGTGGACTTGGTGTGGGCGAAGTGTGTGAGGCTATATTTTGATTGCAGATGCTCGATCCTTCTCCTTGTTCTGGCAAGCGGCTAACTGTAATTATGTAGGATCCCTTGAGGCGCGGCAGCGCCTACGTAAAAACACCCTTAAGGCGCCATCGAATGCGCGGAACAGTATGATTCCGCCGAAGCTAAGGCCCATAGCCATGATTCAAATTTCGGCAAGTTGAAGGGCGGTACTGATTCCACAAATTTAAATACTTAGCAGTGTATGTACTTACTGAACATCTCTGTTTACAGTAATCTGGGTCTGACAGGGTGATTCGATCCATTTTTTTCTCTATTTAGAACGACGTCCAAAATTGAAGCACGACTTCGTCTTATTCCCTTTCCTCCCATTCCCATCAATGGCTTGGTAGCATAGTGGTCATGCACCACTTTCCTTGTAGAAGTGAGAATAGATATATATGTGGAAGACCTCCATTCGATTCGGAGCCAGGCCATCCGAGTCATCAGCTCATTTTTTGTTTTCCCACCCAAGTAACTCAAGTCCAATCTATTCTGTCTCTGGTAGCTTTTAATAATGGCCCGGTAGTATAGTGGTAATGTATCCACTTTCTGCGTTGCAGTATGAAGCATGTTTAAGTGGAGAACTCTCGTTCGATCCGAGGCCGGGCCACTGTCTCCTTCACCGACTTTTTTCACCACCTTTCACCACCTTTCTCGCTCAACAATCCAGCCTCCCCACCCTCTCCAACCCAACGCAGCGCGCATCTGCATGGTACATATGTACGCACGGATCCCAGATCCATCCATTCAGTCATTACATCGTGGTATACCGTGAGCTACTTTTCCCTCCCCTTCCGCATTTCGTTCCCCTACACAGCACAGCATAATCAAAATCCTCCCCGTGCGTAAACGTGCCGCAGTATTAGTCGTAACCGTAATCGTAACAAAAATAAGTATGTAGCATGTAGCAGAACTCGATCGGGAGTCGGGAGTCGGGTGTCGAGTGTCTATTCGGCTCGTCGAGCGTAGGTGTGGGTGGGGGTAGGTAGGGTTAGTCGGTGGTGAGTGTAGTGGTGTGAGTCGGCGTGGTGGTGTGCAAGTCGGGAGTAAGTAGGGAAGGTGGAGGGAGGTAAAGGTGAAGGTGAAGATAGGCGGAAGGGATGACGGGGAGGGCGGAGATGATGACGAGGAGGGCGGAGATGAGGGATAACAGTAAGAGGCCGGCGCCACAGAATCACGCAGCCCCCACGGCCCACCCCCACACGCGGAAGAACAGCATCAGCGCGCCGCCCGAGATGATAGGCAGCGTCAGGTTGTCGTCGAGCCCGCCGAGGTCTGTGGGGGTGTTAGCGGCGGGTTTAAGGAGCGTAAAGGGGAAGAAGGAGGAGGGCGAAGCAGCGGAAGGGGAGGCAGAGGCAGAGCGAGAGGAGGAGGTGTATTGGGAGCGGGGATAAGGATGGATGGATGGATAGAACGCGAAGGCGGTGAAAGGCGAAGGGAAGGAAGGGGAGGGAGAGGCGAGGATAAGGGAAGGAGGCGAAGGTCGCGATAAGGGCAGGAGGCCGAATCCTCAGCAGAAGAACGCCAGGGCGAACGTGCGCCGCACCTCCCCGCCTCCATCGGCGCCACCCCCATTCCGCACCGCCCACCCTCATTCTGCCCCATAGGGAAAACGACGAACAAAACACTCACCAAGCGCCTCCGCCACCCCGCTCACCACCCCCGCACACACCACGAGCGCCACCAGCCCCGCCCACCCTTGCACCCCAAACCGCGCCGGCGTCGTCTGCGCACCCGCATGATTCGCGTTGGGGTTGGCATCGACGCCCCCAATGACGCCCTGCGGCACCCACCGCCTAAGCCACGCGCCGCCCTCGGTCCTCACATACTGCCCCGCGATCGAGTACTGCGAGTGGTACCCCGTGTTCTCCCCGGGCGCGCCTGCGAAAAGGGGAAAACGCGCGTCAGTATGATTATCGGGAAAAGCGCATCAGTACGGTTATCGGGATCGTCATCGCGAGCGAAGCGCATCGTCCTCTGTCCGAGCGCGCGCCGTCCTTCGCACTGCGCCGCCGTCGCCCACCCAGCCAAATAGCGCAAACTGGCCTCGCGCCCTCGCACACCAGCCTCACTCGCCCAGCCCCCCGTGAGTCAAGCCCACCAGGCTCGCCAATGCCTCTCGCCCCCAAAAGAAGAAATCAAGAAAGCAAGTAACGCACCCTCCGCAACAGCCCTCATCTCCGCCACCCCCGTCACCCTCTTCACGCCCGCAATGCCCCCCCAAAACACAAGCGCAACGAGCGCGCCAGTGGCGCACGCCGCGAGAAACCCCGCCGTGCTCTTGCGTGGCGCGAACGGGAGCCGCAGCCGGCGCGTGTTGTTCTTGACACTCTTCGGATTCTCTTTGATGATCTTCCCCGGATTCTCCTTGAGTGCGTTGCCGCTCTTCAAATTCTCCTTGATGGTGACCGCGGGCGCAATCAGGAGCACCCGCGGGACCCACACCCAGGAGGGGAGCCACGCGAGGCTGAGGCTCGCGGGGAGCGGCGGTGTGCGTGAGCCGTACATGCGCCCGAGGGTGGAGGCGGCGGTGTCGGCCCAGGAGAGGCTGGGGAGGAGGGAAGGTCAGCGGGGTGAGGGGGAGGGGAAGCGGGAAGCGGGAGGGGAGGGAGGGAGGGAGGAGAGAAGGGAAGAGGGAGAGGAAGGGCACGACCACCAAACGACGATGAATGCAGAAAGAGAGAAAAAAAGAAAAGGAAACGAAGAGGCGGGTGGGTCCTATGCGACGCGGAGGAGGGGAGTGCACCGACCCAATCCCCACGGCGCAGCGAGCAGCCCCCGATTCCCCGTCTCGGCAACGAGCATAGATGACTAGATGACGTAAGCCGCCGTCCAAAAAAAGAATGGACAGAGGTCGCGGTCGAGGGCGATGCAAGGGCTAGGAACACGAGGGCAACGCCCACGCACGCGCCTGCTGGCCTCGATCGCAGAAGCAGAAAGAAACTCGCTGGGCACGCCCACAAACGCGCCGAACCCACAAAGGTGCCACCGAGGCCGAGGCCGAGAGGTACCCCGCGCCTCACAAACACCCTCGCGACTGCACGCTCTACCCTCACCCTCAACCTCAACCGCGGCGGGCCGAAGCTCGCGCTTCGTCCACGGACTCCGCTCAGAAGTCACGCCTACACGCGACTCGGACTCGACCGCCGAGGCCCAAACACGAGCGCCCCGTGCCCACCACGCGCCTCGCAACGCTCAGTGCCTCCCCACACCCTCGCGCAGAGGGCACTCTGGCCTTGACCTCCATCAGGGACGCCGCGCCGTTGTCCTATCCTGCGTCGCGCATCCCATCCGCGCCCCGCCGCCGACCGACACCACGTCGTACACCCTCCCGTGCGATGTACACACTCTTCGGGGGCCGCCAGGAGAGGAACTGGCGGGCGGCACAGCGGGTCCACCTCCACCGCGACGTTTCTGCCATGCCGCCCGCAATCACGATAACCGGCGAACGATGCATGGGACATAGGAAATGAAAAACGAGATCGGGACATCCGAAAATAGGAAATAGGAAAGTAATCGGAAACGAAAGGGGGAATCGGGACACGCGAAGTGGGTAGCCAGCAGCAAGAAAGAAATAAAGGAGGAAGGAAATAAAGAAATAAAAAAAAACAGAAGAAGGTTAAAGCAAGGCACACGACCCCGATCGCGGAAGCAAAGATAGAGTCAAAGGGCACACGACCCGAAGTGCACGGGAACGAACACCGGGCGCGGACGACGACGCGAGGGGGCATCGTGAGGAGATGCGGCGCCACATCGGAGAAAGTGCGCGGTACGTCGGGCAGGGGGAGGCACACCCGGCGCAGCAGGACGAGACATGAACAGGGGCGAAAGGAAAAGGAAAGGGGGCGAAGAGGCGGAGCAGCGGAGGAACGGACACAGAGGGAGGGGGAAGAGAATGGAAGGAAGTGTCTCGGAAGCGAAGAGGGGGACGTAGCAGAAAATGTGGAAATAGAGGAGCAGGAAATGAGAAGAGCAGCAGCACGCACATGAGGATAGCGACAGTAGCAACGTCAATGGGATAGAACGTGAGCGCAAAGTTGACGCCGAGGATGTACCACAGCGTCCCGTTCGTCCCGTGCTAATAGCATGTGAATACAGTCAGCACCGAAAAAAAAGAGGGTGGCAAGGAGGAAAGAACTTACGCGCTCGCTCTCGCGCATGAGAAATCCCAGCGCACGTTCATAGACGCGCTCGACAGCAGGGTTGTGCAGGCGCACAAAGTCCGTCGGCGCGATGACCGCGAGCGCGCTCCACAGCACTAGCACCACCGTCCGCGGCGACATGCTCGGCGTCAGGTACAGTCCCAGCGTGATGAAGCCTAACCCCGCGTGAATTGAGTGCTAGTCGTCGCAGTGGCATGAGAGACCCACCGATAGACGAATGAAACACCTTCCTCGGGATCTCCCAGTCGATCTTCTTCGTCTCCCCCCCCACCGATGCACGCTGCTTCCCCACGCCCACCCGACGAGCCTCCACATCGGCTGCGAGCGCACGCGCGACCTCGTGCTCGTCGTCGTCTTCCTCAATGTCGGCCTCAGCTTCCAGCGCGGGGTCGAGGTGCCCAAGGCCCTCGAGTGTGCGGATGACCTTGCGCGTGATGCCCTTGACGCCGGCGTCGCGTGCGGGGCTCGCCGAGGCGCGGCGGCGGGGCACAGGAGCGGGGGGCGGGGACTGGCTGGAGATGGAGGCGGGCATGGGCGGAGGGAGGAGGAGGAGAGCAGAGGAGCGTGTTTGGCCTTGTCTCGGCTGATGCCGCCGGATCAATCCCGTGGTATCGTGTGCCGCTATGACTACTCGGTACTCTTGTATTTCAACCAGGAATCCAGGACACGCGAAGGCCTGAGAACCGTCCGGTTGCACAAGGAGTGCACCTGCTGAGAATTCAGCGCATGTTCTGCAAGCAGGAGGTCCCCGGTCGATTCGGGGCTGCTATCTTCGCAGATGTTTTTGGTTCTCACTTCCTCCCCCCTTTCACATTCAAGCGAATAAATACATGCTTCCAGTAGAGTTATAAGACACCCGGTAGCACATGGTGTGCATTTCGGTTTAAGTGGCCGATAGTTCGAGGAATGTTTCTGGGGAAGGCCCCATTCGATTCGGGCTGGGTGATTATTTGGCTGCGTGTATCTTTTTATCTCACCCTCAGCCTGAAGTTAGATAAAGAGCAGTTCTCATCCAGGTCAACAATACCTAGTAGCATTGAGTGAGTTCAAAACATTGACAGTCACGTGTATCCCCGACGCGACGCGACGAGCCAAATCATGCCACACAATCGCCGAGAAGAGGCCGTTTATAAATCTTCATTGCAAAAGCGCTCAGTCAATAGCTAAAAATACATAAATGAGGAAGAGATTAAAATGAATGAGCTGATTTAGACAATATCTGTGTGTACACTCGAAAGGAAAGAAGAGTACCGTAGACTACGAAAGATTCAGCGGCAAACCGATTTCCACCCAGATGAGTCAGTCCAGTGAAGAATCTACCCTTCACAACATCAACCCGCACGAACTTTTTCCAATTCCGCAGCCCCTATCACACTTTGGCCTTGTTGATCTTCTTGTGTCTTACTCGATCCAGGGACCCCAGTGCTTGTGCAGAAAATGCAGGGCA